TAAAAAAAATTTTACACAAATTAAATTTCTTACTAATTTTACGAGGAACCCAATTTTCTTCTTCAAATCTTCGTGTATGGACTACGAGAACTTCAGGAAATGTTAAAAATCTTGTGTGTCTAAAAAGTACATAGCAAAGTAAGTAAACAAATGAAAATTGAACAAATTCATAATAGTACACATACGTCATAGCAACTGTCTTTTTATTGCATGCTGGGCACATATATTCAATTGCCGAATCTGCAGCAAACAACTGTAAGCATTGTTCGAAATTCACAGGCTCGTATTCAGCTTCGTTATTCTCATTTGCTTCAATCTTATTCGCGGGCACTGATATTGAAATGGATGATTCTGTGCTGTCCTTATATCGAACTCGTTTACATTCTACACATTGTAGACGCGTTTGAATTGTGAATTTAAATATTTTTGTCGGATCATTTCCTGGGTTATTATGCTCCTTGCGTTCAATTGTCATAATAAGATGTTGAAAGAATTCAAAAGCATCCTATTTAAACGAATAACCGTAACTTTCGATTATATAAGTCCGAATAGCCATATCACGTGAGTATATAATAACTAGGTACAAACTTGTTGCCGCATCGTGGAAAACTCGACATGTCCTTTCCCAATAAGTGTCTTAAACATGCTTGGTGATATACCATCTTGCTCCGGTTGTTCATTCTCACCATTGACAATCTGAGTAGGTTGGGAATAGCGACCACTCAATAAACCATCGGCAAGTTTAGATAATTGACACTGAATACAGCTTGCTGGATTATCGTACGTGCATTGCGTATGGTGTTCCATAGCAGTAGGGTAATACCTTATTTACAAATTTTTCTTTAGTTGTCTGAGTAATGATCAGTCCTAAATTATCTGGTTATCCATTACGTACCTTTGTTGAAAAACATCCAAAGAGAATATGGATTGCAGAACAGATGCCATATAGCAACTTTTCACAAAATATCATTAATCAGAAGTATCATGTATGTATAGTCAAATTGTGTAATGAAAATACACCCTTACCTATTACCTAAATTTTTAATACCGGTATAACCGGGTCCGAATAAGGGGTCAAGTTTCTTACCGTCCTTTGTTTCCATACTCCAATTAAACAGTTGGTTTTGCTCAATTTGCTAAAAAAAAATAAATTACATATAATATCGAATATTACAAGAAAACTAAACCATGTTGTATACCTACCAGCTCCGTCATACTCTTTTCTGTCTTTTGTTGTGAGGCAACATTGATCCCAAAATTAGCTAAATGTTTGTCCAAAAATGGGTCTAATCTCGATTCATTACATTCATAACAGTATATGTCTTATGAAAATTCATTAAATTAAATTTTTAGTAATTGACTTCTCTTAAAACTAATTGAAACTTATTTTTTTTTATGTAAATATTCACCTGCAGTGCCTTCTGGAGTAATCGTTCCCAATTTACAACTTATCACATGCTTTGTTTTATCATAATGAGCTAAGCCGTGCCCGTTTCC